TCCCTACACAAAAACAAATTAATTCAACCACATCTCCAAATCTTCCCTCTAATCCAGAATTTATGTAAAGGAGATGAAGGTATAAACTCAGCTGTTATTTAGAAGAATGGTGAAATGAAAAAGCATTTGCACTAGCTCTTTTCTTATAAAGCTCTTACCTAATTTAAATATCGTACGTTAGTCATGATTATCTATAGACTTGTCTGCACTTACTCGGCATCAGAAAAATTGTGACTGAATGCATCTTAGTATTAGTCAGGATCCAAGAACTATTCATACCTTGTGCACTAGAACCCCCAGAAGCATTTTTTCAGATGTCTGTAACTGAACAATTTCTCAAAGAATGTGGGCATGAAAAATAGGGCTGCTCATAAAAACCATTGAGACGATGTGTTCAGTGACCTAGGTGAGGTTTTCAGAGTTTCCATTTCTTCTATAAATGAAGTCTTATCCTGCACTCATCCTACCTAATTCTAGGTGCTGAACCAAGGCATTCCAGGCTCCTCCTGTGCTTGGTGGAGAAGACCAGGAACCATGGAGCACCTGAGATATTTCATGGGTTCATTTTCTATGGAGATGGGCCAGAGTACCCCACCTTTTTTATTATACTTAGATATATTAAATTGCATTAGAATCCTACAGACAGTACAGTGAATCTGGGCAGAGATGCTCAACATCTGCAAAAAATTGTCCTTGGATTTGACCCAGTAGTCCAAGAATTCAAACAAACTTCATGAATATTTTTGAGATTGCGTTCCTTAATTCTTCTGATTCCCAAAAGTGTCAGATGGGGGAAAAAACACATACTACAAAACATTTCAATTTCTCCAGCCCACAGAAATTAATGAGATTGGGGCCCCAAGAGAGCTACTTTATAAGATAAATGTTCCTTACAAGAGAATTTAAATATTGCTGTCCAGAAAAAAAATAAAAATAGGCAGTTTCCTTTCTGCAGCAGCTAAGTTCATAGAAAGTTTACATCTCTTATGTATGAATATATACCCTCAAAAGACCCAAGGCTAAACCCCCTGACTCTGTGCTTGTCTGAATACATGGTTTAATTCACTTGCCCAGGTAAGTGAACTCTTTCTCCTGTTTTTATTTTTTTAATTGTTATTTGGCCATCCAGAGTGGAAAATGGAATATAGAAGGGAAGACAGAGAAATGCTGGTCTTGAAAATTATCTGAGTCTTGGAGAAGGATGTAGTGTTTGAAACTCATCATGATTCTACAGATCTTTTCTGCCTTGAGTGTGGCTCAGCATTCTCATTAGCAGAAGGGAAATAATGACAATATTTGCTTGTTTCCAGTTTTACACTGTCTTTGCTTTGAGACGCCCAGATGGGATTGATAAAAATCCTAAGGATTATGATTGAACAGAATCGTGTTTAATATCTTTGAGATGAAACTGTCCCGGAAACAGAAAGTCCGGGGTGTTAATGCAGTCCTAGCTTCCTCCAACCACTCCAACTCAGTCCAAGTGCTATTAAGCATTTTTGTTGACAATTCAAATGAGCTGAGGTCGAAGTTTAAAAGGATCGCAATTTAAATCAACACAAACAGTCCTCTAGAATGCTGTGCACCATCGTTATGACTTCTTTTGCTTAAACAAGAATAAATCAAAAGTAATTCGTTTTGAGTCAGTGGTGTTATACCAGCCTAAAACTGCAGTAAGAGAGGGCAGGGTGATGAGCATCTATCTGCCAGCTGACACGGTTTGCGAACAGATGGTGCATTTCACAGCTCTCCCTCACTTCTCAGATAGAAAAAGAAGAAGGTAAGAACCAACCCACGAAGTTTTAATTCAAATTGTGAGAGAAATCAGCCTGGCAAATACAGAAAATGGGAATTTTACATAGCTACCTTAATCATACAGAAAAAATATTTGATCCCTATTTATGACCTTACATCATTAAAGTATTGCTCACACCTTGCCAGCATGAGTGAGGAACAAATCTGTAATTTAAATGCTGGCCTGCTTAAATATATAGGTATAAATATACTAGTTCCTGTCTTTGCTTCGAGTCAGTAATACACAATGTGTTTGCCAACATAAACCAACACAATTTTTAAGAATGCCTTATTGTAAAGTAACTTTCAGTTTGCAAAATATTTGTGGAGATTTAACTCATTTAAATTAGCATATATTGGAACAAGTTACTCAGATATTTGCTTTCATAACTTTTCATATTACATACTAAATAAAATCAGCTGAAATCTAGGCCTTATTATATTTTACTTTAATTTATGTACATGTAAATAAATACAGTTAAAACAAACGTTACAATTGACTGAATACACATTCAAGCCAAAGCTGTAAAATACAAGAATCAGTGCATTTTAGACATTTTAATATATTTCTTTTTTTTTTTTAATCATAGCTGCCAGTAAAATAATTTATCAGGGGAATTAGCTCAGTAAATGTAAAACTAGGCTATTCATTCTCCCAGTGTTAGGTTACTCAGGCAAACCCACATCCTGGGGTTGCATGGACAAAAATTTATTAGATTTGGCACAGGCAGATTCCAGGTTAATTATCACAACAGTTTATGTCATTTTGAATATCATTCCTTCTCCAAACTCCTCCTTATACATAAGTCAGTCAACTGCTAATTTGCTCATCTTAAAAGATAAATGTAGAGAGCAAATTTCTCTGGATTTACAGTAATCCACTGACATCTCTCTTCCATAATATTTCCTTAGGCGCGGATCGGTATATCTAATTCACCTTAATTACTGAATTATACCAGTTCTGACTTCCTGGTCCCAATCCTTATATGACTTTTAAAAAGAATTTCCCTCTCTATGCCACTGAAATGCTTTCATATCATTGAAGTGAGATTAGAGGCACTGTGCAGTTGGTCCTTATGTTTTACTTCTTCTGCGCAAAAAAATTAGAGTCTTCTGCATTATGCAAATATAATTATGTGCAAAACCAATTTATAAACACATCAGCAAAAGGTGTGTTTAGGATCTTAATTAAATTTTATACCAAAGCATTTGCCTCTGAAAAGAACATCCTCAAACCCTCTCTAACAACAGCAATTTCTATAAAGTTTTCCCAATGAAACATTAGAGATTGACTAACCTGCTTTTCCCTTCCTACTTTAATGATCAAAGTTTGCTGGGGAAGCTAAATTTGCCAGACAAGTTCTTGGCTTTGCAAAGGAAGATTTGGGACTTCACTGTTTGGTTCACTAAAGGAATAAGCAGTAGTTATAAAACTCCTTGCACACATTATTCAAAGCTGGAATAAAAGCTACCACCTGTCAGGGAGCCAATTTTTACATTCTTTGTCCTTAGTTTTCTCTCTGACAAGAAGGGAAACAGTCATTAGTGAGAGTTTTGGTAGCTTTGTAAACAAGACTTTCGTTCTCCCAGAATTTCATTCGGATCTCCTATGCATCGACACAAAGAGCATCACTGCATCATCAGGGAGAAATATCTATCCATCACTACTGACCAATCCCAACTACGTGCCACTGACCAGAAGATGGAAGGCTCTGCATCCTATACCCAATTCCTCAAAGCCACCTAGTCACCTGAAGATAGAAGTACTTCATCAATCAGCCTACGGACCACCTCTGCTGAAAGGGCTGATTGCACTCTCTTTGCCCTTGATTTATAGAGTATGCATTGCTGCCTTTTAGTGTCTTTCACTGAGATATGACAAGACCCCACACAGAGCTGGTAGAGAGCTTTAACTGAACAAGAACAGCAAGATTTGCAGTATCCCTAGGGGTCAAAACCTTCATATGATCCTTCTTCTGCGCTTTAGTATGAAAGTTCTGACATCTTGACAGTTTTAATAGATACCCAAGAGGCAGAACACGAAAGGAAGATCTTCGTAGTCCATCTTGTCTTTTTTAAAATGCTGAGGGATATTAAAAGTGAAGTAGCAATACTTGGGGACAAGGGAAATAGGTAACATGACAGTGTTTTAAAGTGAAATAGTAATGTATAGGTGGTGACACAAGAAAAACACCAAGAAATTCAGTTAGCAATATCCCTGCCCATCTCAAATTCTTATCACAGAAAAAATCAAATGCTTTGATTTATAATTTCAAAGGTTAAATCTCAGTTATGCCTCCTGGGATTTGATTCCCTGCTTAATTTCACATCTTCCACAATTTACTTTTGAATTTTATATAATCTATAAAATAGGTCTTATAATTGGCCTATTGTCAATACACGGCTTCATAAACATTCTGGATAAAGCAAATAAAAACAGTAACAGAGAATACAGAAAATAAAAATCTTGTCCTGTATAAACAGGCGTTATCCACAGTCAGCAATGATAAATATATAAATAACACCATCTATTTTTAATCTAAAGGACTTTAGAAAAATGATGGCCCAGCACTCCTGTAATTCAATTAATGGCAGTTTAGCAATTGAGTTCAAGGGGACCAGAGTCTGCCTTTTCACAATGCAATATAAACATTGAAGGATCCGTTTAACCACCAGTAAATGGACCACCTCTGCAAAGAAACATGATCATTGCTTTATAGATGACGTTAACCCTAGGATTTAGAATAGGAAGGAAATTATTTTTTTCCCAGGTGACTAAAACACAACACATGCAATTCATTCTGTGAGCCCTATGGTTAATTAAAAGAAAAAAAAAAAAGAGGCTAACAACAAAATCTCCCATTCTCATGTCTTTTCCCTCCACCCCCAGATCTATAGAGAGAGTTAAAGATAGAGATGAGACAGGAGGTTACTCACCGTCGAGGAGTCACTGCTTCCGGTCTCAAGCGTAGCTCCCTCAGCACAGGTGGGTGGGTGGGTAGAAAGTTGACTAGCCCTGCCCCCATCTATGACATCACACTCTACCTCATAAAAGGTAGTGAAAGTGCTCTGAACTCCAGTCTGATTTCCGAGAGATACAGAAAAGAGATAGTGAGAGAGAGAGCAAGAGAAATATTGTGCCGTAGCGTAGAGGTGAGGAGAGAGGAAAACGTGTGCTGACGGAGCTATGCTTGGTCAAGGAAACAGGGACTCTTCCACGATGAGTAACCCCGCTGTCTGGTGGTTCCTTTCACTTGCTCCCATAGCACAGGTTAGGCATGCAAGCCCCGTAGGGTTTGCTGATTGGGAAAGGGGATAAATTTTGGCACCTTTTCATGAAAACCAGAGAGGATAGAAAGCTCTATCCCCAGTAAAAGGTGACTGACATCAGATCGGGCATGACTTTGATAGACTTCCAAGTAGCATTATTTTGTGTATGGTTTTGAACAGCCAAACTGCATAAAAATATAAACACTGATGCAAGCAGCTGAAATTCCAGTGTCTAAAACTGGAATTACACTTGCGTCCACCAGTGCTGAATAAACATTACAAGGCCCAGACCTCTGGGCTGACCCTTGAATAGAGTGAGCCAGAGGGTAGGTCACCTATAGCACTATATGGAGGAGGTCAGGAAAGAATTATGTTTTTCTCGCATTGAAAATGAGAAATGACAAACTGTGCTGAAAGAACAAGTGAGGGAAGTATAAAAATTCTGGGCATACATTTATTTACAGAGCACACTTTAAAGTTCCAGAAAATATCAACAAATTTGCAAAGAGGTTATGCTTTTAAAGACTGTACATTTTTAGACAATGACAACCTTACAGGCTGAAGCTCATTTTTTTTTTTTCCAAACAAATTCCCAAGAACTGAAACTGGAGGGCTTAAAATGGGATATTCATTCTAATTTACTGTAAATGGAATCTTTATCATCCAAATTCTGGAAAAGCAGGTTTGAAAGTAAACATAATTGCTTATATTATCCACTGGGATTTTCTTAATAACCTAGCTGTATACTAAAATTGAAAAAAAAAATAGTATATGCTGCTAAATGTAACTCCATTAAATAAAACTGCTCAGAGAATGGGGGACTATTCAGTGCCAGTAAAGAGTGCTAGCGTAAGATCCTGCCTTTTGGAAGAGGAAAAAATGAATGCTCTTTAAATCTTTTTTAAGAGTATGCATTATAAGCACACAGAGTTAATATTGATGTTTTCCTGTAGGCTTTTTGTTGCTACAAGGATCATGTAAATTGTAATCATGATTATTTTTTCAGTCTTTGTAATGATTAATGTGTATTCCCTGCTCTGTTTGTGTGCTCTTTGTTTTTCTCTCCTTTCCTTCTATTGAAAAAAGAAAGTGTGTGACTAATGTCTAGTACCAGTCACTTCACCTAACCACAGAAGTCAAGTATTTTTCTTCTTAACCTTCAAAACTTTTGTCATAATGTAATCCTGTAGGATCTGCAGATGCTACTTTAAACCAGTATATTTGAGAATTTAAAAACTCAACAAATGGGCTAGTCTACTTGACTAAATGAAGAGCTGTTGTGCCTGTTAATATATAACTTCAGGAACACAATGCAAAACTAGGCTGCATCTGAGTAATGCAAAGTGATGGTAGTGCTGTGAATTTCAGTTCATAATTGAATTAAATACATGTCTCTCTGATTTCTCATTACCTCACCTTGATTTCAAACTATTTGCATGTATGAAGATAGAGAGGAGGACAAACACCTCTGGTACCCTGTATTGCATCTACTCCTCATTAACATATATGTCTACTAGTCTGCCAAAGAGAAAAGATAAATTGAACTTTTAAAGGCTTTTATGGTAAAAAGTACCAAGTAGAATTCATTAATTCATAACTTAGGTAACCTATGACTTGACTATTGCACCACAGTTGTTTTTGCCAAATAAAGTAGGAATATATTTCAAACTCCTGTGACTACCAGACCTTACGAAGCCTAAGCAAGCTTGCTCATTCTGATAAAGAGAAGGATGTTCAGATGACATATCCTTAAATAAGAGAAATATTACACTTGTAGTAGCAGTTCTAAGATCTCCTAAAAAGAAATAAATTGTCTTTTATTGGAATAGAAACTTATGGAAGCAGCACGATTAAATTCCAGAAGACAGTATAGCCAAGAAAATTCTCCACTAATAACACAAGATGAGAAGTATGGAGAAATATGGTAGATTCCATCATGATAATGCAATATAAACAGTTCAATAGATTAGGTGGCAGATAATATCCCAGATGGTATTTTGGGGTTAGCACTGCTCAAATCTGAAATCTTGTTTTGACCTCCTTAGTATGATATCTGTAGTTGATAAAGAGAAAATTAAGGGAGGAGCAGAAAAGACAAGACTGATTTGTCAACATATGCTAGAACACATTACTTGCCTAAACAGTGAACAAAAGCAGAAAAAGAATATACCTAACTGAAAACATTTTAAAAATGTATATACATTCAAGAAAGGAGAGGAATCGTTCAAGCGTTCCAAGGAATACAACTAAGATTAATTAAATGATTGCGTGGAAATGCAAAGAGAGAGTAAGCGAAGACTTTAATACTCTAAAATATTTTCTTAAGGGACGTAAGTTAAGCCTAACAGCATAAGAAAACTATGTGAACACAAATCAAGTCATGATTTAATTACTTTCACCCAGGCACTAGAAATCAAGTTAAAAAAAGGGTCCATGTTCAGTTTGACATCGAAGAGCTGTTGGAAAAACACCAAAGTGCTTGCTTTCTTACTTAAAAAGATGGACAGATGATGGGGAATGGGCAGGTACCGCTAAGGTACCAGTAGCTGCTGTCTATAAAGTTTGAATACAGCAAGACAGTGAAAAGCTGAGGAGTACCAACCGCGCAGAAACATGATACGTACTACTGGTATACCTACAGAACTTAAAATTTTATATATTTTAAGAAACTGAAACAACAGCTTGAAAAGGCCATGGAAAAATGCCATGCTGACACATATAAAAGTTCGAGACCTTAACACAGACATGCCTCTGACCCAGAGATATCCTGTTGCTGTAGTGGATCAGCTTGAGGGATGAACAGAAAAATCTTTTTTGTTCATTATTTGTCATAGCTAAGTAATGATGAAATATGTAACATCCCATCTGAGATTGAGTAAAGCTGTAACTTCTCTAATTTTTTGACGATGGGAACGTTGCATGTAAAAAAAAAAAAAAAAAGGATGAAAATGTTTCTGCATTTTTTTGAATGGAGTATTGATGCTCTAATCCAATTTTATAAAGTTCTAATTTGGTCTTCAATGAGATTTAGGACAAATCACTTGTATGTTGCATCTCATTTTCTAGTGATAATATTACCTACCTGGCAACTGAGTTCACAAGGTGTTTTGATGATGTGTTAGCAAAATCAGAAAGAATCGATGTTAAAAGAAAGCATTTGAGAATATGTAACAGTAAAATGTTAGGATTGATTTTTCTGACACTGGGTAGTTTTTTATTTTGACTCCATATCAATGCCTTAAACACATTATACAAAACAAATGCTTTTTGTTGACGCAACTGCTTATCAGTTGTGTAAGATTAACGATGTGATGTGAGAACAGACATATTTTTCCTTTGCTCCTATGAGATTCAGAAATAATAACAGTAATAGTAATAATAATCTGTTCCAAATGTGGAAGAAAATATTTCAGAGGGTAAAGATATAAGGGAAATTTTAACCTTCCTCACTCAGTTTGAACTCTTCCTAAAGGCTATTATGACCTCCCACACTTAATGGAAATACATCCTAGTGTGAGTTTTATTAAATACTTTGTTGTAAGCTGTTTTGTTCAGTATTTCCAACTGAATCTGCTCAGGCTGGGAAAACCTGTAATGGTTTCCCTTGAGGGTATGTCTTCTTGTCTGTGAGTGTTTCTGTGTGTGTGTTACTCATCTGCAACTCAGGTTGTCAAGAACTATAATTAAAGTGAAAGAAACTGATGAGTCTGAACTGACGTTTTCTTTTAGTATCTGCAAAAGCAACACCTGATAGTACTTTTAGAAGTGAGATTAAGTGTCACCACTATCCAAATCAAGAAGTTAAATAATTGCAAGAGCTAAAAGATGTACTTCTGTATAAGAAACGCAGTCCAAAATCTCCTATTGTGTTCGAAATCTGTCATTATGTAAATTCAGTTCTCCATAATTCCATGCTCAAGAAACAAACCTAATTTTTATTTAAAACCTCGGGATGTATCTGAGAATGCCCCAGGGGAAAGGAATTCTTATTTAATACAAAATGCTGAAGCTTGGTCCCAAACCACCTCCTTTAAAGGCAGTAAGACAGGAAAAGAAGTGAACCTGAGATAGCACTGAAGTCCTCTCTTTCTTTACAGCAATTTTTATAGGAATAGTCCTTCAGGACCATGTCTTAGGGTATGACAGAATGGTCCCTAGGCCTTGCTAATTATTGCAGGGCTGGTGCAGTTTGTGTGTCGGAAAGTCTCCCATCTCATTCAGCATGACCTGGAATAGGAAAACAAGCTGGACTGAAGCCATCACTGCTGTAGCAGGCGAGCTTTGGATTTTAGAGTGGTTACTATTTTTAAAACAAATGCTGCATGTAATGAAGCATATACGTTAATATTTCCTTCGATTCTCTGATCTTTTCTATGATCATACTTGTTTCAAGCCTCAATCTTGAATCCATAACACTTTGCTTTGTTCTCATGGAATTAAATGGCTTAACATTATTTGGTATCAGAAATGCTTTTCTTTGCAGAAAACTCTTCTAATGAGAAATTTCAATAAATGTAATCTTCAGAAATTCATGAATATTTGTTACCTGATAAAGCACAAGAGTGTGTTCCCTGTAGCCAAAATGCTTCTTAACAAGAATAAAAGTCTGACCTGTCTAAATTTTAACCTACTAAATGTAGACATATAGATTGTGTGTGTGCTTCTTGTCTCCATGAATATATTCTAATGAAGACAAGTTCGGTGTGATTTTGCTTTGCAAATGAAGCTCTAGATAACATCTTTCCATTTATGCAGGTTACATTGTTTCATATTTATATGTACGTGTGTTTACATGTGCATTTATATAGAAT